CTTCCTCCAATCCTGATGCCACGTTTTTCTTCATAGAACCCAGCTTCTCAGATTATTTGCTCAGCATACAGGTAGAATAAGTATGGTGAAAGAATACAACCTTGTCACACACCTTTTTTTAATTTTAAACCATTCAGTGATTCCATGTTCTGTTTGAAGAACTGCCTCATGAGCACAATTAAGTGTTCTGGAATAGCCATATTTCACAATGCTGTCCATAGCTTGTCATGATCCACACAATCAAAAGCCTTTTCATAGTCAATAAAGCACAGGTAAGCATCTTTCTGATATTCTCTGCTTTCAGCCTAGATCCATCAGATATCAGCAATGATATCCCTTGTTCCACAGTCTCTTCTGAATCTGGCTTGAACCTCTGGAAGTTCTCTTGTCAATATATGCTTGCAGCAGTTTCTGTAGTACCTTCAGCAAAACTTTACTCACATGAGATATCAAAGAGATTTTTCGATGATTTCCGCATTCCATTGGGTCACCTCTCTTTGAAATGAGCACAAATATGGATCTCCAAATTTCTTCGCAGAGATGAGTGAGTGCGTCCTGTGCCGCCTCACTTTCTTGAAGGATTTCAATTTTTATTCCATCAATTCCTGGTGCTTTGTTCTTTGCCAATTCCTTGGTCTTCCTCCTTCAGGATCATTGGCTTTTGATCATATGCTACCTCTTGAAATGGGTGAACATTAACCATTTCCTTTTGGTACAGTGACTCTGTATATTCCTTCCATCTTCTCTTGATGCTTCCTGCATCAATCAATATGGATAACATCCATAGGCCTAAAAGGCAGACTACTTAAGATCACTAGTATTCAAATTTATATACCAAACACTAAAGCTACTGCTGATATAATTGAAGAAATCTACCAACGTCTTCAGTCTTAAATTTATCAAATATGTACTCAAGATGCATTGATAAATACTGGGGGGTTGGAATGCAAAGGTTGGAAACAAAAAGGAAGGATCAATACTTGGAAAATATGGCCTGGTAATAGAAACTATGCTGGAGATAGATCTCATGACAGAATTTTGCAAGACCAATAACTTATTCATTGCAAATACCTTTTCTTAAAAACAAAATAAATGATGGCTATACATATGGGCCTCATCAGATGGAATACACAGAAATCAAACTGACTACAACTATGGAAAGAGATGGTGGAAAAGCTCCATATCATCAGCCAAAACAAGCCTGAGGCAGA